TTGGCTGCTGCTGAGAATTCATGAGCTACTTCATTGTAAGCAGCAGTTGGAAGAAAGTCTGCAAGGACACAGTCCCCGTTTGCTAAAGCTTCCACAAGTAGACGGAGCGGTGGCTCCTCTGTTGCCCCGCTGATTCCCTTCCATGTTATATCTAGAAATCGTCGGGACTGACAATGTTGCGCTCCCAGATTCCATGGTTGTGCTCCATCAAACAATCTCAAGCATCGTTGTGCCACATGCTGCACGACTGCATCATCTGGAAATGACATCCCACCTCATCCAATGGAGATCACCAGGGACCAGGGAGCAGGAAAACAACAAGATCAGGATCAGTCATCAATCAACAAATTCTGATTTACCCCAAGTGCAAGACTGCAAGGACATAGTCAGTAGGGCCCCTGCACAATAGCCATGGCAATTGTTCCCAATGTCGTAGCTTGAAGAACAAATTGCCTTGGAGATTGCGCAGTCGAGTGGAATATTTTATTTGTACAGCACATGATCAAAAAAATAGCCAAAGGCAATTATGGGCTGCTCAAAGTCAACTACAAGTTACTGCAAGTCTAGCCGTCTAGCCTGTACAAGCTCAAGAAGAACAACTGTGACTGGCAGTACAGGTCTAGCAAAGGCAGGATGCTGAACAGACGCCCATGAGCAACATCAAAGGAGCCCTTCAGTTCTGCACGTTTGCTCTCTGGCGCCTTGGAGACAAGCTCTGCAAAATCATACTTCCCAGCACCAATCGCGCGCGACTGTAATGCCATGCCCTTTCCTGCAGCTAATTCAGGAGCACGGCAGCATCTGAAACAACAATCAAGCCATCTATTTGGCTTGGCCTGCCGTTTCCTTGGAGCCTTCATACGCATGGAAGTCATATCCATCTGGTGCTCAAAGCATGGACAGGCTTCTGCCCAATCTGCGACTATCTCAGATGCAGTAGCCAAGTGTGCAATCATACCGATACAACACCAGGAGTAGTCATCCTGCATGAGATCATTGATGTGGGAGACTGTGGCTTTGGAGGACTCTTCAACAGCAAAAGGTTTGTGAGATGTGACATCATTGTGGTCGCATCCATGCAAGTATGACCCCGTTCGCCAAGCAGACCGTAGTGTGGTCTCCAAATCGTGAACCTGAGCCGAGCTTGCGATCTTTGTCCAAAGAGTGGTCTGAAATTTGTTCTGATGTGTTCTGTACTCTACATGTTTATTGTTCCTGGTCATGACAGGATGTTTGAGCATGGTGTAATGTCGTCATGCAGCGTGATCGGTGATTGATAATGAGCCATTTAAGTTTAGTCCGAGTAACTGCAGAGCAAAATCTGCTAATGGCCTGCCATCGAAGTCCCCTAAGGGAGTCTTCTGCCCAATCTTCGACCCACAATCTGTCAGGGTGGTCAGATAAACATGTTGCAACAAATCTTTCTCTCCATGTGGGTGTCGAAAGCAAAGTGTCCAAAGCGACCAACTTAGGAAGCAAAGGTTTCCACCTGACAGACGGGTCAACAATGCTTACCGTACAAGGACAAGCTAGCATTGCACACCCACGTTGAACAAAACATTGGTGAGTTGGCTCATAGTTAGCTGACAGACTAAATGCGAATCACATGTGAATTGCCCCTTCCCAAGACACAGTAGAAGAAAACACTAACGTCTGTTTAGAGTCATGGTCATTAAGCTTCTAAATTCAATAGAGTCAGAAATGCTGCCAAAAGGCTGTGGTAGATTCTCTAAGATGCTCCCCAACATATTGTCGCAAATGTGACGTATGCCTGTGACCATAATTGCATTTGGAAAAAGGGCCAACACTCTGTCGTGATCATCTGGTGGCAACTCTTCCTGCAGTGATGGAGGTGTATCTTCCTCTGACCTGCAGTGCACACTGAGAATTCAACACTGGGCTCGCCTGGACAACACCAATCAATATCAGGTATACGGCGTACAACATACATATATTTATGCAATGTAGTAATGCAAAGACAATAATATCATGCCCAAATGGCCATGAACAAGAATCAGCGAGTGAAAAGAAGTGAAAATGACAATGTGCCATCTTGTGTTGGTGGTTGATGTTCCTCAAAGAAACAGGCAAACAGTTAGCAATGGACAACGGGAGACAGCCCACCCCACAGCCTTGGCGATTGTCCAGGTTGTACTTGGGGTTCATCCTCAATGTCCAGACTGCCTAGTTGTGTGAGATTCAATCTTGTTCTGTGTGTTGCTGACCGGGATAAATCCATATTTGGACCAAGCTGATCTCGCATTGCTTCATCGCTGAGCGCTCGAATGTCAACTTGTGGCTGCTCTACAAGTCGCACTTCTGTGCCTAAGGGGATGGAGTAAATGGAATTGGTTGATGGAATTGGTCCATACAAAACAACACTCAAAGGATGGGTGTGGTGTGGTGGTGGGGTTAGATGTGCAAGGCGCCCTGGTCCGAAGTACAACTGATCACTCTGCGCCCATATGCAGCAATATCCTGATCTCTGTCACCAAGATCTGCTTCCAGACCGATTGACCACAAGAGAGCGTCCAATTTATTTACAAGTGTGCAATGGCCTTAGAAGCAGTTTCACAGTGATTTGTTTAGTGAATAGATTAACATTGACCTTTGCCATTTCTGTAATTACCCTGTAGCCTGTAGTCTGTAGTTAGCTATTGAGAGCTGCCACTGCCAGGGTGCCCTTCCCCAAGCAAACCGGAGGCAACAAACGGTCTGAAGTTCTGAAGTTGTTGGTGGGCGCGTCGGCTTCAGAGAAGGTTTGCGCGTGCTCATCAGCTTGGCCTCGATGAACTGCAGAAAGGATAGCTGAAAAGTCGGCGATGGATTCTTGTGCCCTCGGAATCAGAAGGTATTCAGGAGGTAGACTGTCAGTCTGTCAATTTACCATTTTATGTGAAGCAGTTTAAACATATCGAAGACAGTGACATTGCATTGCACTCCCTGCAAAGTTTTAGTGTACGAGCTGCTTTGTAGTGAATTCTTGTGTCAAGAACATCTCACGTGATTGCGTTGTTGCATCGTAACCTTAGTTGTAACTTGCCTTGCCAAGACACTGGAATGGCACAACTTGCAACTAATCCACCTTCTCATTGACAGCTACACAACTGCAAAATCATCCCTTTTTGGTTTGTGCTCAATTGCCAGGGAACACAAGGCAATAATGTGTTCAGAGAATCCTCCAGAAGACTTCCAAGTAAGGCGCCGTGCAAACATGTTCAGTACATCCAGTTTCCATCGCGCTCTGGACAAAGTTGCCGACGAGGGCCCACATAAAGGCATTGGTTTGGTTTCCTCAAACAAGGTACCAGTACTGGCACCCGGTGGACTTGCAATGTCATCTGAATGGTCAATAGCCATGATCCAAAGGTATTGGTTTACTGCTACATTGGTCCATAGCCATCCAATTGTCAATAGTATATTGAAGTATTTTGGTTTACTCCAGTGCAAATACGACGCCAAGGCCAAGGTGGTTGTTTCTGCTACAAATACTCAATGGAACTGCGACACGAGTGTGTGTTTGGAAAGTACCTTTCACAATTCACAATTAAGTTGCACAGTATATGGTGCGTTGACAAGACTATTGGTGTGTTGTGTAACAGTGCCCTACTTAATCCAAAGAATATTAATTTGATCAGCAATTTCACGACAAAACAACATGGCATGGCATCGACAAGCCAAGATGCTGCTTGCTTGCAAAGGTCCAACTTGCCACTTGCAAGCTCACACGCAGTTTGCAAAGCCAGGTTGAACCGATTTGCTGCCCGCAAATGTATACTCCTGAGCTCTCTGCATATCAAACAGGACCGAGCCGCATGCGAAGGTCCACAAAACAAACAGCACAGCAGGGCAACTGTCACTGGGAACATGTTCAACGCCAAAGTGTCAGTCGCATTGAGTTGAACAGCTGGAGCAAACTATATGCAGGTCTGCCACCACTTTTAACCGACGGACGCAAGGCACTTGTTGCGGCTTTTGGAGCGGAAACATTGGCAAGGTCTATCAGCATCATTGCAGCATCTCGAAAAGCGTTGACCTGGAATTGACTTCATATATTTTAACCACGCCTGGTTTCATTAATACTGACAATATCAATAAGTCAATGAATAGGCCTATGTTGAAAGGACAATGGAGGAAAGGAAACAGGAAAACTCATTATTTTTTGTTTTCAATATAGTCACTAGCAAACAATCAGTCCAGAATCACTACAAGAAACTTCCTCAACCGTCCCGTGCTGCAGCACTGGTCTCGCCGCCAACAGCAGCAACTCACGTGCTTTGTTGGCCTTGGCCCGCACGTCCACAAAGGCAGCCTTTGCGACATCACCATCTAAGATGGACATGGCTCACGAAGACATGGCGCCAAGCAGTTGTGAAATAAAATTGTAGTAACAACATTTGTCAACATCTTGTACTATCCAATCGTGTTGGGAGTGGGAGGGGTGTGTTTCCAAGCTCCTGTTGGGCTATTGGAAGATGGAGCCCAGAAAACACCACCACAGACTTCTCCACATGGTCCCGAAGTTTTTTTTCCCCCAAGCCAAGAAGCCATTTCATTCCAAAAGCGCTCAAAAGGCAGAAGCATACGTTAGCATACATGTTTACTGTAGATTTTGCAACTTAACATTTTTTTGAATGTGAATGGTTGGCTGTTCCTACATTAGGCAAAAAGTTGCCTTGTTGAAGTTCACTTTCACTCATGTATTTGCATGAGCCATCACTGGCAGCAAGGGCGCAGCGTATGTGCAACTGCAAAAACAAAGCCACCATGTTTGTAAGCCAGGCGGTGTTTTTTGAACCTGCTGTTCTTAACACACTATTGTAGCACTTAAAAGCGCCAACCCAGAATTAACCGCCCCTGACTTATGAAATTTAGCACCGGTGACCCCTGAAAATGAACAAATTCCTCTAATTACAAGGGGTGTCAACCTGCCATGGTTTGGTGAGGAGGTTTGGACTCACAGCCACAGATTTTGACCTCCAATCCTCATGCCAGGCAGCTTGAAGGCCATCGTCATGGTCTCTACAGTCGATGCGCCACCTTGGCGTGGCGCAGAAAACCGCAGATCCTCGAAAACCACCTTTCAACTCTCCTGACCCAAGGACCCTGGAAACTGTTGTCCCCGGGTGCTTGGAACAGTTCCAGTTCCAGTGCCAAGCAGCTTGTGGTTGGCAGGTGGGGGCCAGCAGTTCCAATGTGGTTGGCAGGTGGGCGCCAGCAGTTCCAGATGCAGTGGGGAACGCTATGCAACGACCCAACGAACTGTGCTCAAAAGATTTGCGCTGCTTCGGCGGGAAAAAGGTCTCCAACTTGTCCAGAGCTTCCTGCTCCCTTGCTTGATGCTTCCCCGCATGGGAGCAGCAAATCATGTCAAATCTATAGCAGCAAGGACTGCAAAGGATTGACCCTTCAAAGATAATCAGGACAACGTAGCTTCAGAGACCACAACCTGGAGTTGTTTGATGAACAAAGTCCGGATAGTCTCCCTGCATAAGCCCCTTTTCTGAAACGTCTTGAGGGGCCCCTTGTTTTAGCAGAAACGCCTCCCCCCCGACGTACAGGGTCCACCTCCATGGGATCTCTTCGCATCGAGAACTAAGGATTCAACTCCCCTGGGTTGAAGCTTCGGGGGGCTTGTCCAAGCTTCTGGGGCTGTCCAAACACCACCGAAACAAGGCTGTGAAAGTGCTCTCCCTGGAATGGATTGGAACCAATTTTCAGTACATCTTTTGCAAGGGGATTCACTCAAGTCATCCAGGATCCCGCCTGGATGAGGAAACCAAAGGTCCCATGTTGTGTCAACACCACTCTCTTCGCACTCCAAACCGGATTTGACTGCGGTTACCTGCGGTGACCTGCGTCAAGTCACCCACATCCAAGAAGTTCGCTGGGCTGCCACCCAGGATGCTCAACAAGTCCTCAGCCGGTGGAGCGCTGCCGCTTCGGCGCAGCCGCTTCGCGCAGCTGCTTCGCAGCGTCGACGTCTGGAGACGAGACGAGACGGGAGTCGTTGTCCGATCTGGATCCGCCCTGACTTGGCCGACGCCCCGTGCTTTTGGATGGACGTTCGGGTATGTTGTTGCTGTTCAGGTTGTGGCCCGACTTCCCCGACTTCAAGACAACAAAAAATCCTTGCCACGGCTCAAGGAGCTAGTTCGAAACAAAATGATCCCATTCAAATGCAGCCCTCCTTTGGGGGAAGTACTGACACTTTAAAGCAACACAAGTATACACAAAACTCTAATATACATCAATATCTTCACGGGTTGCTTCATAACCCAGTGGTATCGCAGTTGCTTGATCCAAACGAGCTTGACCGGTTTGCTCAAAAGTGCAAAAGGATACATATAGTATACCTATTCCATGCTCATTGACTTATCCAAAAAGGACAAGGTAGATGGGTACCAGCTTGTTCAATCCGAAAGTCCCTTTTAAGAAAAGAGTCATATATCTTCAATCCCAACACGAACTAAAAACGCTCGAGGTTTCGGGTGAACACACCTATGTTGGTTTGTTCACTGCTGGCGAAAGCGACATGCTGGTGGCTCCAAACTTGTACCATCCTGTGAGCTGTGGGAAGTTCACATTCACTTCTCCACTTCGAATGGTTGCCACCTGGCAGGTCCTGCATATTTCCAATCTTTTTTTCGCTTTGGAAGTCGAATCTTGACCGAAACCTGTACATCTAGTTTCTTAATGTAGACACACACACACAAACAAAAACACATACAGCAATAAAACATAATAAAACCATCTCAGTTGGATTGTAGAACAAGTTGATATGAGGTGTTTTATGGGTCAACTCTCTATATTTAATTCTCCTCAAATTACCTTCATGTCACACCAACTACCTCCCTCCAAGTTTCCATGGTGGACATGGCGAGACCCGCGCCGTTCACCATGCAGGCCACGTTGCCATCCTCGGGCCGTGAAGGGAGCGCGAAAAGGATCAAACCAGCTTCCTTCGACCATTCAATGAATTGGTTCAAGGGAAAATCTACAGGACAAGTCTTGTCTTTACCCGTGGCGTAGAAGCTCGAAAAACTGGGATCCACGAAGTAGGATCACCGCGGGATCATTGTATCCCTTCAGTATACCAGGACCCTCCAAGGGGTGTCCATTTATAGCCCCTTAGCTGTTAAGGGGTGTCCATTAACCACCCCTTGAAGGCCCTGGTATACCATGAATACATATATATATACCTAGATCGACCAGACCAGACCTGTACTTTTTGTCGGGTCTGAAACGAAACATCGTGTATTAAAAGGAGCAAGGTCTTGGAATAGGACCTTTCTGGCCCTGAACAGTGGTCAAACGGATGACAAGTGGGTAAGTTGGTCTCTTCCATTTTACCTCAAATGTCAAAACACAAAGCCGAACGAACCATGGGCCGGGCAAGGATAGTGACTCTTTGACAGCGACACCAGGTGATTCAATCGTCCCTTCTCGCACGCCCATGACATCCCACAACCCATCCACTTCATTTGCAGCCTTAATGTAGACTCTTGATTAATTTGGATTGAAAACCCTCTTCATGGCCGGGGGTTTCGGTGAACTGGAAGGCAGTGGGGGCCGCAAGGACTGGGGGTCAACAGGTGAACTCTGCTTGACCACGGAAAAAAGAAAGGCTAAATAGGCTTGTATAATAAGGAAGTCAACCGGTCACCCTACCAGGGTTTAGGGCTCAATCTTGCGGGCGACGCAGTGTATACACCCCTTGCTCATGTGAGTATGACAGACATGGTGAAAGTACATGCAACCTATCAGCCCTATATGTACAGCATGAAATACGTACGGTGCGAATTAACAGTTAACACATTCGACCGTCAAGCCACGTCTAGACTTAAGTTGTTCTCTCTCTCTCTCTCTCGCTCTCTCTCTCTCTCTCGCTCTCCGCCTTCGGGCAATTCGCCTTGCTTGCGGTACATGTACCAGGGTCACAAGGGCTCAGGGTTTTGACCCCACAGCCAATATCGAACCCTGAAGGCCCCCCAGTTTCGGGTCTGGTCATTGTTTGTGCACGTTTAAAAAATATGGTTCCCCAACATGGGGGGATCTTGCGGTGGTGAAAAAAGGACAAACTGCAGGCCAATTGCGGCAACATATTGTGACCTTTGAATACTTCTAATATGTAGCTTGACGACAGTGACTCCCTGGTCTAGCTTTATAGGCACATTGTTTTCATTGTGACCGCAAACCAATCTGCTTGCTCCCAAGCTTCCAACTTGATGTAGTTCAGGTCATACTTCTTGGCTTCCACCTCAATGGGATTCTCCTGGCTGACGTCCCGCTGATCATGAATTTCCTTCTGTCGGTAGGAGGCGTTGTCATCGAAGTTCACCTGCGCCAGTCGCTGTGAAGTTCACGGCAGCCACGACGGGTGGCTGCCGTCGCTGGGTGAGTCGGGAGGGACGTGGTTTCACCCAGCGAATGACCTGCGGTTACACACGTTTTCTCGTCCCAAGCCTACACCAAATGATCGCCAAGGATACTTTATGATCTAAGCATGAGGCTTTTTCGCCGACCACTTCCACCAGTGATCTGCCAAGATCCTGTCTTTTTTCGAAACACCCGCCCCACCTTGGAGTCGCAAACCAAGACGCGGCCATCCGTGAGGGAGGCTAAGGGGTTGATCTCCAACATGGTGCAGTCGCACTCGATGAAGACCTGCGGAGTCGGAGAGTGGCTGGCATCGCGCAGCGCGGTTTGAGCCGATCGAAGAAGGTACATCCGGATTCCTACCAAACACGAGCAAGCTTCACAAGTTCCCAAACACGACGTTCCGGGACTGGAAGTCGTAGACGACAGGGGATCCCTGGGGTAAATTCTGGGGTCAATTTTGAGATATGATATTTCATGCATAGAGCGTCTGGGGGTTGAGTACATCATGACATCCAAGAATCGAGTCCAAGATCTTTTATGAATGAAATACAGAAGCATGGTCCCTGTTGTAATGGAGGATAATGGAAGAGTCTGGGAGAGGATCATAGATCAAGAAAAAAACGGTCCAGTGCCTAGTACCCACTGCGTCGGCAGAGTACTTTCAAACATAGTCATCACATGTTGGGTCAGGTTACTGCTTCGGACGGGATGAATAGGGGAAGCAATGACCAACAAATTCGTCCTACCTGATCATCCTGATCATGATCATTGTGTCTAAGGCCAAGAGGCTCCAACAAATAAGATCAAATGTACGTGCACAGAAGAAAACAAGACATGTGTCTATCGCTCCGGAGTACATCCGAGCGCTACAGCTAAGCAGCGGGTACTACATGTAGCCCACTACACCTGTCCAGGAGGATGCCCTACAGCAGGATGCCCCAGGTTTTACAGAGTCCACTCCTCCTCACTGTGCTGTCTTCGCTCCTGGTCATGTCCTGGCCTTGTACAGGTTGGCCATCAGAGTGGCCTCGGGCCGTGCGGATGTTCGGCGCGCTTGCGGGACAGCAACTCGGCGATTCTTTGGAATGAGGAGGAACAAACCAGGAACACCATCAGTCCTTCTGGAGCTGATCTTTAGACTTCCAGCCATTGATCGAATCAGGTGAACCAACCTCCAGCAAGGTGACGAAGCACCCGAAATGGCCTTGAAGAACCACCGGAACATCCAGAGCTCAGATCCGAGATCCATGTAAAACATTCCTCAGGTGCGCCCAGCGCACTCCCAGCCGGGCCCCCGGCGGCTTCCTTCGCCTGGCGGAGTTTTTTCCGGTGCTGCGCAGCACTGATGGATACTGATCACCGTGCAAGGGTGATGAGACACAAGAGACAACTGGCACCATAGGGTGGCGATCATCATAGATCTAAGGTTCAAATATATTCAGGTACAGTATTGTTTAATTAAAGTATTTTCAAACATATATAATTATATTTAAATGTATTTAACATGTGTTAAGAGAGTGGTTCATGAGTTGCTCGCATGTTTCCTCTAACCAAAGATGAGCTGTTTCCAGTGGCTTTGTTTGCATGGGAAGGCAATAGACTGGCCCCCATCTTGGTGACCCTCTAGTAGAAGGACTGCTTGTGTTTAGACTGCTCTCCAACTCTGTTTCGGATCACTTCAAGGTCTTGCCAACTCTGTTTCGGAACATCTGTTCCACTTATTCTACGTACATCCTGGTTCGCTAGCTTCGTTCTCTTCGTATATCTTCCGCCGCTCCTCATTCTTCGTGACGATCCCCCAAACCCACCCGGTCGGTCTCCCCCGGTCCCGTCCCGTCGCCTGGGCGCCGCTGAAGCCCATCTCCGTGGCCATCTTCTCTGCGGCCTCCGGCTTGATGCCTGGCCACGCGCCGGACAGACGGATCGGACGGGGCTCCGTCCAGGGCAGGGCTCAGACCTTAGGAACTAGAAGGCTAGAAGGTCCTCTAACCTCCTGTATCATCCTGATTCATCCTGCATCTATAGGCTTTCATCCACCACCCTGACAAACCCTTGAACCCTTCAAGAAGACAGGCTGCCAGGCCGCCAGGCCCCCTTCCCTTCCATTCTCCGCGGACGCCGGTAGGGGGGCACACCTTCGATGATGTCCACAGGTGTCTTGATGATCGCCGTGGGGTCCGCGGCCGCGATGTCCTGCGACGTCGGGAGGTCTCGACAGCGCCGTGACGTGTGCGCGGTTCGACGATGTCCGTGAGGCATCGGTGCAGGGTCTCCCATGGGACGGTGATGTGGGAAAGATGGGACGGTGTGGGAGGTGACTGTTTGGAGAAGTCAGTGAAATCATGTGAAACGCTTCACTGTGGACTTCCACTTTGGGGGACTCTTTCGTGGGGCAGGCGCGGTGCGGGTTCGCGGTGCACCCCACCCTGCATGGCCGTCCGGTCACACCCGGTGCCTCGATGGAGGTTCCTCCAGTCTTGCTTCCAATCATCAAGGGGCCTTGCGGAACTGGGACCAGGGCAGTTGATCCCTTCCCCTGTAGGTTGGATGGGCAGCCCTGGAAGAAACAAGCGCAGATTCACTCGCTTCCTTGGTTGCAAACAGCCAACAAAAATCATTATATAAAGGCACCCACCAACCATGACCAGAATAGCATGTGGGTCTCTCAAACCAATTTCTCTAGGTGGTGCAGTACTCCTTCATCAACCGTAGGGATGATGGAAGTATAGAGAATCTTTTGCTTTGCAGAGGAATCATCCTCAAAAAACCTTATCAACCAGTTCATTCCCAACTGAAACAAACCATCTCCAAGGCTGTACTCAGGTATTGCTTTTCCGGCCGCATCTGGCTCGGCCTCCACTGGAGCGGTCCATGAGAATGGCAAAGTATTTCTCCTGAGAGGAGTTGGAATCCCCGTTGGTGTCATGAGACGCTGGATCCCTATAACATGCTGGACCCCACCTCCAAAAACCATACAGCTGAGATCAACTGAGTATACCTAGATCTTCCGAAGATGCGTTGGGCTGCAATGTCAGCCCAGAATGTTCAGCCCGAGCGAGTTTGGGCCGAGGGTTGGCCAGGTCTCGACCTACGCACCTTCGTCCAGAGAACTTGGTCCGAGTTGGGAACCTGGAGGACCCGAGGAGGACCAGTCCCCACCGGGAAGCGCTGCACTGCGCTGGCCCGGTCGACCGCTGCACTGCGCCAGGTGCGGCTCGGAGGGTCGGTGACAGCACAGAGCCAGAGCCAGATGGTCTGAACAACGACCCCATCCATGTAACTCTCTCTTCCCATGGATGCTTTGAAAAGGTCGATAGGTCCGGTCTCGCGCAACAAAAGGCTGGGACTGGCCACCAAAGCTCAGAGTTTCGGCTGAATGAACGCATCTCAGAGCGTTCGAAACCCAAAATGGACCTACCAACTGCTTCCGGGCTAGGGGTAACCTGGCTGGATCTCTCCACACTACGTCAACAGGTCTCCACCTACAGGTCTCCACCCCGACAAAAAAGCGCATCCGTTAGGTTTCAAGCCCCCAGACCTTAGGATCCACTGGGCATGGCATCAACAAGAAAGATCCCCCACCGACGTGGCGGAACTCGGCTACGGCATGCATGGCATGCAAGAGACCCACACAGGGAGATGGTCCAAAAAGCACATGGCTCAAAATACATCTCTCTCAGGTGGTGTGTAAGGTCTCTTTCTAAAGTAGGATGGAAAATCGCTTGGTTTGTGCGAGATGTACTCGTACTCGTAAGCAAGCTTAGTTGCACAAGCTTGGCAGTTTGAACCAGAGAATACAAATGACTGACCCTCAACCTTCAAAACGATATTATTGGGTATATCCTATCCTATTACCAGTAACAAATAATGATGGTTACCAAAAGGCCTTTTTCTAAAATAGATTAAACATCTATAGTACATAATTCATTGCTGACCGATTGTTGCAGCACAGACCCAATATACCCTAGGCCTCCAGTCGTACCGAACCTGAGGTTCGGTGGGACTGGGGTGGGTGCCAGGGTCGGGTCCAGTCATACCGAACCTGAGGAGGTACGACTGGACGGTGTAGGGATACGTACAAATATATCCCTGACGCTCCATGTATGCCATATATGTCTACATTGACCCCCAAAACCACCCCAACTGATCGGCATCTATGGCAGTCCCATGGAGTGTCTGGGTATGGAACCCTTTCGAAGCCAATACTGCCGTTGGCCGAGGCTCATCTTTAATGGAGACCTTCTCAGCCAGCAGCACCCTGCAGTTGCGTGGTGCCCCGGTTGGTGCCGTGAACTCGGAAAGTAGGAGTCAGTGCACGTCAGTGGGTTCGATCATCCCAAGAGGTATATACCAGGACCCCCAGGAGTTGGGTGGTAGACATGGACACCCCGAATCACAGCTAAGGGTCTATAAATCAACACCCCTTGGAGGGTCCTGGTATATGAGTTGCTAAAAAATGTTTAAAACGATCTTAGATAACCACCTTGCAGTAATGTTTCTTTTAATTCTCTGGATGGAGAAAGGAGGATTTCTCTGCATGAGATCGTTTCTGAAATTTCTGCCGTCGGCGATGACCACCACTCCATGTGCGCCATATTACCTACGGGGTAGTTTCAGGGGTCAATATAGGGATATCAATGATATCATATATTCCATTACATGGAGTGTCTGGGATAGGAAGATATTCAAAAAAAAAACACGAGATCAACGGGGAACCAGGAGGACGATGGACCACAAATGCCCCTCGGTACCCCAGAATCTATCAGCTGTTCACTCTGGCGTGTGGTGGAAATTTGCTTTGGGATGCTTGAGGACCGGGACCTGGTAAAGCCCTACAACTCCCCAAAACAGTGGTGAAAGGATGTGAGCACGGGGTGAGAGGAGCCGTGCCTTTCAACCTGGTGCACCCCATGAGCAAACTTTCAGACGCCCCCAAAAAGGGATCACGAGTCATGCTGCTTTCGCTGCTTTCGCGTCCAAAAAACGCCTGCAAGAGTCACAGTCAGTGACAGCCAACCCCTGGGCCATGCATTGTCCTTGGGTTCTGGGACCCCAGAAACAAGTAACATTGCTATGATGCCTCGAGGGAGGTAGAAATCTCACCTCTCGCTGTGGGGTGGTTCGTGGGGTTGGGGTTCACGAAGTTCGGGAGTGTTCAGGGCTCAATGTCACAAACTCCATGGAACATCAAACTAAGGTTCAGCGATGGATTCATCTTTCAAACCATCGAGCCATCGAGCCATCCACCCACGTGGGGCCAAGACACGTGTTGTTGGGCTTTCCTTCTGCTCCAGTCTGCTTGGTGATGAGCCTCAGTCTGCCGGTTCCGGAGTTCCAAAGGGGCCGCTTGGTCCTCTTAGGCTGAAGGCGTCGAGGTTTGATCCAAAGGTCTTAGTCGAAAGATGTCGAAAGGGTCCAAAGGTCAACAAGCTCATGAAAAACTGGCTGGAAAAGGGTGGGTCATTATAGTCAAGGTCTTAGTTGAAAAATGCTGAAAGGCAGTTTGTTTGGCCGTGTCAAACTCCTTGGAGACTCCAGGTCGCAAATATTGGTTCGAGCCTCCCGAAGTAGTTTGTCGGGCCCAGTCAAGGTGCTGGCCACTTCTAGTGGTGTCTCCCGTCATGTCTGACTCAGTTTTTGCTGGAAAATACCAACTTTTCATCTGTACTAGCTAGGATGCGATCATTTCAATCTGGCGCCCATTCCCTCCATGATGGCGCCGTGAAGGCGCCTTGGGCGGGTGGGGCTCGGCCGCCCGACGTTTTGCCCAACATCTTCTCTGCCACCTCCTTGACCTATGGGAGTGGGGTGGGCCACTCGGAGTCGGGTTGGGCGCGATGCTTGGGGGAGGCGAGGCGAACGTGATCGGCTGCTCGGCGGCTTGCGACACATCAACCAATCACTGACAAAAACGGTGAGGTCTATATGACTATATGTGTCTATACAAGCCAATCCCATCCAAATGCAGTGCTGGTTTCACCTGGCCTTCTCCTTCTTCACGATGTGGACGCCGCCTTGGAAGTTGTTCTCCTGCAAAGACCCGAAAGGGGCACGGCACAGTGACTGTGCAAGACCTGAAGACTTGTGGCCAACCTCGACGTCTGCTGTCACCAACGTGGTCGAAGTTGACCTGATGGATGTTCTTTGCACCTGTTTGTAGCAGGGGACATCAATCCCTCAAACTATTCTGAGGACAACTGAACAAAGATAATTACAAAGGAAACATAAGAAAACTGAACTGGCTTCCTCCAAGCCATCATACCATCCAAAATTCCAGCAGTTCTATTCAATAGCTTGTCCTAGCCAGAGTGTTATCCGTGGCTGCGCCCATGGCATAAGAACAGTGTCCAACACGTGAGATCACTGAGGCTCTCCCACTGACCATTCAAGTCCTCTTGCCCACCTCCTCCTTTGCCCCGGCGCACCACAGCACCGCCCCCTGCGAAAGCTTCTCCTTGAAGTGTCCCAAGCCTCTCCCACCGGCGAGCACCTGTGCCTTGACCTGGAGCGGTGGAGATCGGTGGTTCTTCGCACCCCTTCGAAGGAGAATGGGGCGACCCGCCCCCCGGCCATCGGTCCAGTCCCCAGGGCTATCGGTCCGGTCAGCACCCGGCCCCCTTAAGACACTTCAGAGCTTCTCCCCGGTTTCTCGCGACGTCCGGACGGGCATCTCCCGAATCGCAGATGCACCGGGTGTTTGGTACGAAGCAACGCCGAGGCACAACGACTTCATCGCCCGGCATCTCGTTCGCCTTCTCCACGGCCTCCTCTGGGGAGAAGGCGGGCAAGTTCTTGGGCACGCCCACGCCGAACCTGGATCGGTCCAGGAGTCCACTGGCCGTGTGGTGCAACCGCCCGCACAAGTGGGCTCCGTCCCAAAGACGGTGATGGTGCAACTCCAAAACAGGAACAACCTGGCTTAGCTGCTTTTTGGCTGAGATCATCCTTGTGGTGAAAGCTTCTGCACTGAGATCAGCGCGCGGAAGCTCACGTGTCAGGCCAGGGAATACAGGACGACGCAGCGGAAGTTGTTTGAGTGATGAAACACACACACACACTCGAGATAATAATACGTACTGAGCCCCAAGCCCTGAAGAAGCCTAGGGTTTCACACACACACACATGGCTGTGATCTTGAGGTCATCCGACAGAAGGGTTGCTTCCAAGAAGGAGAAAGAGGGTGCAAATGCCTTATTTTATGCCATGATTATGACCATCAACAATTCCTAGTCAGGGGCGTAACACGAGGAGCAATCAATCGTCAATATGTTTTTGCCCCATTAGTCAGGATCTAAGTGGATGGCTTTGCTCCAAGAACCCTTGCACTCAAGTTGCTGCCACCTCCTCCTTCACCTGTGAAATATGTTCTGGGAATTTGACATGAGGCACTGAGGCACCGCTTTTCGAGATGAAGCAGTCTGGCCATCACACCTTCTCATCTGAGAACAAGGCTGCTGGATTCTCAGTGTAGTGTCAAAGCTTCCAATTGCAGCCAAAACACTTCTGGAAGATAATCTGCGCCTGGTCAGGGGTGAATAACCCAAATAATGGTTTTGCAAACTGTTGGAAGGGAAATCACAAGTATCTGTCTGTATATCCACGCTGCATGCATGCAATGCATGCATATACTTGGGTATGTTCCATGCCTCGAAAAGTACATGAAAGTGACGATGATGACCCAAACGGCCACGCATCGAATCTCTTCCGCATCCCTTCCAAGTTCAACGTCGACCACGTCCACAACCAAGGACTACTTCCGGCCCCTTCTGCCGCGACTGCCGCACCTGGTACTCGTGCAGGTTCAGAAATCTCCGCTGCACCGCTGAGACCGCCGGCGGCACCAGGCCGCGGCGCAGGCCGCGGCAAACGCTCGGTGCCAGGGATGCCCTCGGCGCCGCGGCGGTGGGGGTGACGGCCAGGTGTCACATGAACGGCAAAAACCACGCTTTGAGAGGCTCTTAACCATCTAAAGTATACCATGTTTGTAGGAAAAACGTGTTGGTTTTGCCCTGACATTCCAAATTTTGTGGTTGTTTGCCATCTTGACCACTGGCCACTCCACTGGCTTTCTCTGACAGAAGGGAGGAAGTAGAACATGTAGAACCAACTACATCGATATACTATGATATACTTGGATGCAAAACGATTCCAACAACAAGTGCCCCTTGAAACTTCAGTCTCTACAGAACTGTGAACCTGCCGAATCGTAGCACGTCTACGAATCCCCATAACCCCAAATTCCCCCCAACGCGGTGAACCAACGCAAACGGCAAAGCCGTCACAGCCCTCCAGACCAGCAACATGGCCAGGACTAGGGCAAAAAGGGCGAGGACTGAGTTGCTTGGACCCCAGCACGGCTGCAGGATGCACGGGCGGAGGGATCTGAAACCGAGTGCATGGTTAAAGAAAAGCACGCAGCGCCCCTTAAGAGGACGCTACGATCGAGGCTCCTGGCCTTACTACTAGGAACAAATAGGAACGCTGCGATCGGGGCCCCTGGCATCGCTACTAGGAGCGATCGGACGCTACGAACGGGGCTCCGGGCCGCTGACCCAGTCGTCACCTCGTGACCGGACGCCCTAGTCGTCCCTGCCTCCCAGTCGTCCCAGAGACGGCACCTGCGCGGCAAGACTGTTAGACACATTCTCCCTCCACCGCCTGGGGCGCAGAACCAGTTTTCTGGAAAAAGCATGAAAAAGCATCCATCTCCGAAACATCTGGGGGTCCCACCCTCTCTGGGCTTGGTTCAAGCTGTCTGTGTTGCTCTCAACATGTTGGAATCAATCGGACTTCAGGGTAAGACCACTCCAAAACGCTGAATGGAAGTCGACTGTTCTTCTTATGCACAGGATCTTCGGTCTCCAAACCCCAAATGCTCCACGTCTCATCCAAAAGGCTTCACCACCGGGCCTTGGCCAGGCGAAACATCGCTGGCTCCCGCTGCGCATCGCGGCATCGCTGGCGGGTGCGCGGACCGGGCCGAGGGTGGCCGAGGTGTGTTGATCATGGCTTGGCGCACCTGGTTGGCTTGTATGTCGACTAGGCCTGACTAGGTGACTTCGATCAACAGCATCAGGCTACGGGCCGATCTGAGCTGTTTCGGCCGATCTCAACACGGGGCCAACGAAGATGGGCTCAGGTGCGGAGGAACCGCTCCGGTGAAGGGACTCGCTGTGGTGCTTCTCTTGAGTCAAAGCTGGGCGTCGTTTCACATGGTTTCTCACAGGGGACCATTGGACTCCGGATTGACCACAGGGCTTTTCGTGTATTTACTGCAGTTGAGCCGCCACAAAACTCTAGTCACTGGAATTCACTGGATAATGTTCATAAAGATGGAAGCAATATGGAAGCTGCTGGTAAATCCTCCAGCAGGGGAATCCTCCAAGCAAAGAACAGGCTTGCTCTCCAATCAGCCACACACCTTGTCGAGCAGTATAGATCTACTCACTACTCACCCCCGAAGAACATGTTGCAATCCCAATACATGGGTTCGTCGAACGAGCTGGTTCTAGTCGTTTCTCGCGTTCCACGTCTCGAAGTCGACAAATCAACTGAAGAACTGCACACCACCTCCTCTCAGAAGGAGGGGGTGGTGTACCTCACGAGTCCAGGAGGTTCAACCACCAAAAAGCGAGCCAGAGGGACCCAGAGGGACCAGGGTCGGTCCCTCCCGGCCCGGTGAAAAACTTCAGCCTGCGTCTGCGTCGGCCCTTTTCATGTGACCATTAGAAGCAAAGCAGATGTGAAAATTACACCTGGACCCCTGCACATGTAGTACAGGTCATCTAAAATCTATATATATATATACTTCACACCAGGTTAAGCCTGGGACTACCCGTTCGGCAGATTGGAAAGAATGAGTGGAACTGCCGCTCTCCAGGCGGACGCCTTTTCGGCCAAACGCAGCCAGCTTTCTACTTGGCTCGACACAGCTGGTCCACTGTGCAAGATGACATCGCATCCAAGATGGAGGACAAAGCCTGGAGAAGGAATGCACATTAGGGCGCCGGCCCACGAAGTACATTGCATGTGGGGTATGCATTAAAAATAGGACACCCTCCCAGGCGTTCCCGCCGGAAGGTTCGGGATACCCCGTCTAACCCAGCGGGTCTCCAGTTCAAACGCACACCCATGGGCCAAATCCGGACCCTCCAAGATAAGGCTGGATTCCGGGCACTGGGCACCCAGAACGAAAGTACATCGATCGCAAAGAGGGTCATGGTGTGAATCTGAAGCATGATCGAACTACCAGGTTCTTTTGGTGTGGAGATTGATTGATATGAACAGTTGCACAGTGTGTGTTTTCTGTGATAAAGGAAACAAGCAAAATAGACATGAATTTAATAGACCAATTCATTGTTGGCCTTCTCTTCCACAACAGGAAACCTTGACATGGAACCGAGGCTGCCCTTGGATGGTCAAGGTCGCAGCTAGCTTCGTCGTCGGAACCTTTGTTTGCCTTCGTCGTCCGTGGGGGTCCGTCGCGGCTCCAGGTGGGCAGTTTGGAACTGCGACCTCAAAGAAAGGCAAAGCAGACAGCGTTAGGTCGTGGTAGCTGGGCACCCCGGTGGTGCACCGGGAGGACGTTCGCACCACCACCGATGAAACCGATGAATCTCCGGGATCCACGGCAGAAAGGTTCTAAGTTCGAATAAGCTCCAGCAAAAACTATACAAAAGCATATTATAATAAAACATATTAATATATAAAAACGTATTCTTTTCCTAAATGATCCTAAATGTCTTTGGTTGATTCAGAAAACTGGACCTTGTCAGCTCCGCACCATCCCCAAGTGGTTTATGAATGTTTATTCTGGGACATCCCTTTGGCCCTTCTGTTCAGCGACATGTACAGGGGTGCCCCACCTCCGTACCGGGCACTCGCGAGCCGAGGGCTTCAGCGACCAAAGCAAAGCTGAGGAGGTCCGGCAAGACACGAAGCTCGGACATGAGCTGCAACAAGCGCAGGCTCCAGTGCCATTGGCCTCAAAACGATCCGAGCTGACTCTGACTCCAATGGAAGGGTCTGCTCTGCTGCAACACCGAGTTCTAATTTGTCGTATGTTGTAGATAGATGGGTGTCCTGGGTTGCAAGTAGATCATATCGATTGACACTTGGAGCTGACTGCGGCTCTCCAAGTCTTGAAGCACTTAATTAGTCGAGTTCGACCCCGAGCAGCGGTTTTCATGGCTTGACCAGTTTTCAGCCTCGCTGAAAGTGATTGTGGAACTAAAAAACCGACCCACAAAAGCTTCGCACACAAATGAAACTATACAAACAACTAGTCGCGACCTTTGGATTTATATACACTGTCTGCTTCTGATATAGTCATGGGGATTTGTAAAAAAACAGATGGGGAATCCTTGCAACTCAAAGCAGCTTGGACTAAATCTGGATAACACTTTCTGGCCAATGATTGAATAAAGTTACACTAATTATATAATAGATGGTAATAATTGGTATATAATAGGTATTGAAGTTGTCAACCTTTGGTGCCGAAATGGATGCCAAAATTCTGCAATAACCGCTCAGCTGGGGCTATGGGGAGTGGAGTTCCTCCAAGTGACTGCCACAAGCACTGATGACGGCATTGAAACTGACCAAATTTGGTCGAAGGCTTTCCTGGTCCATGACATGAAATGCTTGGAGGGCCTCCCTCCACTGGCTCCCCTTCTCACAGGAAGAAATCGCCGAGTTGAAGCAAACTAGATCAATCTGCAGCCGTGCCGTACGTATGGCCTCGAATAAAGACAGTGCTTGCTGCCATTGACTGCCTTCCTCGCAAGCAGTCATCGCAGAGCTGAAGCTGAAAATGTTGGCCTTCACCTTGACTACGGGCATCGCAGCAAATAAGACTAGGGCTTCTTCCCATCGTCTGCCCTTGGCACACGAGCTGATGGTAGCACTGAAACTGATCACGTCTGGGATGATGGCACTGGCTCTGGTCATCCAATCGAAGAGCATCAAGGAATGTTGCCACTGTTGACCCTTTTCACAGCTACTGATCGCTGCATTGAAGCTTACGTCATTGGGCCTCACGCTGGCTTGCGGCATCGCTCCGAAAAACGATAAGGCCAGTTGCCATTGGTTCCCCTTCTCGAAGGAGCTAATGATCGCTCCAAAGATTATAATGTCTGGCTGAATCTCTGCTGAGATCATGGAATCAAACAAGTTGAGTGTCACTTGCCAACGCCCTTGCTTCACGCAAGAGCTGATGGCGGAGCTGAAGCTGATCACGTCCGGCATGACCATTGCTTCCTGCATGGCAAAGAGCAAACTCAAAGACTGTTGCCACTGGCTTCCCTTCTCACAGCAACTCATAGCAGTATTGAAGGTGATGCTGTTGCAACGCACACTCTCTGTAACCATGGTGTTCAACCACCTGAGTGCCAGCACCCATTCCGATCCACGACGGGAAGATGCGATGGCGGCATTGTAGGTGACCACATTTCTTTCGACACTCACAGATGGCATGTCGCCAAAGATCCTTAAAGCCAGCTGCCATTGATCGCCTTTTCGAGCTGCGCTGATGGCCGCACCCCAGTTCACCACGTTGCGCCGAAGCCCGAGCTGAGCTGGCATCGCCGCCAAAAGCCAGCAAGCATGCGTCCAGAGTCTGGCTGAAGCGCAGCATGATATGGCCAGCGTACAATGCTGGGAGTCCAATCGAACACCAAGGCATTGAAAGGCCGTACCCAAGGCGTTGAAAGCAGATTGCTCCTCTTTTTGTTCGGCCAGAGATGTCCTGGGTTCGGGCAACTTGGAGGGTCACAGCACAGGCTGGTGTGTTATCTGATGCCTAGCCGTCCAACCTCTGTACTTGTAAGGTTGCGGATGATCCCCTGGAGGAAGTTCTTGCAGGTCCTAAAAGGATCTGGATTAGGCCCTTCCCACATCCCAAACCAACCGGTTCACCGGGGGAGGATAGTGGTTGTCTGAAAATTCTCTGAGGAAAACAAGCAGGATAGTACATCAGGATGTTTGGGTGATCTTAGCAGCGTGCTGGATCAAAAGCGGCCCCCCAGCTGGGAAGACGTCCCGCAGAACCCTGCGAAGCTCGCACCGCAGGTCTTGAAACGCGCGCCCGCGCCAGCGGACGGTACACCCGATCTCGTTATCTCCTTGGAAAAAAACCGTCAGAAAAATATAACAACAAACAACAAATGAACAACAGACAAACAACATATAACAAACAACATATAACATATTCTATAACGGGCAGAAAAGGGCGTCCAAAAACAAACAAACAACATATATGCATGTATAGAATACCTTTTTTTGGGTCGCAGAAGATGTCAGCTGTGGAGAGGTTGAACCGTCGAATATACATAAAACATATGGTATATGAATTACAACGGCTGACGCCTCCGCTGGGATATGATTCCATCATATATATATATAATGTATCCATGGAGTGTCTGGGGGTATGTCTGGGTTGTCTGCAACGTTGTTCGCCACAAGGAGGCCGGTGTGGTGAATCAAACCGGAGAGGCCGAAGAGGGGACTTGGTCCACCGGAGTTCCAAGAGGTCGAAGAGTCGAAGAGTGCGTGGCGCCCGCCCAAGAGGTGTTGCGTCCCTTCATGCCCGTTTGGTTAAGCCGTCCCTTCATCTACACTGTTCTTAGCACCGAACTGAAGAGGTGGTACATGGCTGAAAAAAATGTTCAATCGATTATTCCGATGTTTATTTCAAGAGTCTACATTACATTGACCCACATAACTAACCCTGAAGACCTCGCCAACACAACTCGCGTCTTTCGCGAGTCGGGGCTCAACAAGTCTCGAAGCTCTGAAGCAGGCGCTGCGACTCGCATGGCGCCGGCGGGTGCTCAGCATGAGCAGCATGCAGCCAATGGAGCCCGTTGAGGATGAATCAAACGTCTTAAGAGTGATTGGAGATGAATGGAGTGTCACCCCCAGTCCCAAAAAACGATCACCCTGGTGCACCATGCGCCATGTACAGTAGTTAGAGATCACCCTCGTGTTTCGGTGCAGCCCATCGATCGTGGATCATGAAGGAAACACGCCGTCCCGTGCACGCCGTGCACCCTTGGACCCCGACCAGGTGGGCAATGTGCGCATTGTGCCGGGTGGTTCTCATTGCGCATGTGGCACACGCAGTGTCTGTTTTTGCTCCACGCAGTGGGTGTTTTCTGATGTCCATGTTCTTCGAAAAAAAGCTTCGTTTGTCTCCGGTGCATCGGACCGGCAGGGTCATCGAGTCAGTCGTCTTCCTCTTGGCTGGGCGGAGACGCGGAGACGAGACCGGACCGGTTGTCGGCGACCCGAGCGAACGAGGTGAGGGGATTCACCGGACCGGCCCAAACACCAAGCAAAACCAGGTCATGAGGACTCACAGTCTGAGTGTCCTGGAAGTGAGGCCCCGAGGCCGGAATCGGACCTTTTGCTGAGCATCGACAGGTTTTCTGTGAACAAGACCAGAATGAGACCACGAACTGTGACCGATTCGGCTCTGACCTCTTGACTGAGACTTCAAGACTTCAGCCAAGGACATCTGCGAAGCTGGACTGCTATGGCCAGCGGGCAGCAGAGCAAAGCACTATGTCGAATTGTACGCAAATGAGGCGTCCACACCAAGTTGCAGATTGTTTGCTGAACTGTGACCCTGTGATATAGGGCCATGACACAAAATACGGGTGAGTTGTTGCAGCCCTTGGATCCAGGTCACTCGGACCTGTAGTTGTTGAAGTGTTTTTGACTCCTAGTGGCTAGGAGTCAAAAACACTTCAACAACTACAGGTTCGCTGTAGGATGCTCAAACTCTTTGGCAAAGGAGGATGCGATGTCGCTTGCAAAGCCGCACACCGAATGGCTGGCACCCTGTGGCGTTATTTGGATTCCCATGCCCTCAGCAGCAGGGGCACCATTTTGGGATGTCAACGAGATATGTCCTTGCCCATCTCGCCCCAAGTCGTCGCTCTCTCTTTCATGCCGCTTCATGCCGCTCCATGCGGCGTGTGACTTGTCAGCATGCAGCAGCATGAAGCTCTGAAAGATAGCGACGTATATCACTCATGGCTCTCGCAGACTCTCGCATGTCCGATGAGTTGATAGCGACAAGTCCCAGGACTCCCAGGACTGATGTCCGACTGATGTTCGAGAACAGTCCGCCGGCGTCGTGTTCTTCGCATCGAGCTGCTCATGGATCCCTGGTGGTTTCAACGTCTTCCGGGAACCACCAATCGCCACAGCCTCGGAACCATCATTTGTCCATCTGGCCACCCCCAGAAACCTCATCAAGCCTCTTTTGGGGGATAAACTGCAAGAAATGCACTTCTCCATTGCAGTTGGAGTCGATGGGTTCCCAGAAGTGGTTGCCGTGGATGGCATGGCCGGCCATGGACGACCAGTGAACCGGAACACCGTCCGCAGGTAGTGCCCTCCGAACCCTGATTCGTTCAGGGAGTCGTTTTCCCATTTCCCTTTGGAAGAGATCAACGAAGTGCCATGTGCCACCACAGCAGGGAGCTCCAATCGTCCAAACTAAGCCCAAAGGCCGCGGGAGCTCCGTGCGCTCGCTCCACGCCACCACAGAGAAAACGCGCTCGCTCCCGCGAGCCGTCGAGACGACGACGCCTCAGGTGAGCAGCTCCAAAATCGAGAAGCCCATCTCCTCCCACCGAATGAAGGTGAGAAATCCGGAATTCCCAAACACGACGACTCATGGGACTGCCAAGTCGGACTGAGAAACGGCCAGGGGTGGTTGAAAAGGGGTCAATGTATGTAAAGATGGCAGTCCCAATAGTCATGACCGCCATAGGACTGCCGACATACGGTGGGGTGGATGGCAGTCCCATGGAGTGTCCGGAATTGAAGGTGAGAAAAGACATCTCTCCCATCCTCTCCCATTTCGGGGGGCCCATCCTCTCCACACTACAGGAGTCGGACGTGCACACGACGGTCAACATTCTCCACAAAATCGGTTGATTGAGAGGACCAATGGCACAGACCCTTAAGAGGTGGTTTAGATATAATATAGACCCCCATCTAAAGGACATCATGGGGTAAACGTCCCATCTACTCTGAAACCACTGTAGGAGTTGTGATCCTGTGACACTTCAGGATGTAGAGGTAAACGTTTGTGGCACTTCATGGTGAAGAGAAAAGAAATAGAAACTGTCGCAAAAAAAAGGGAAACACTGCGCGCACGCAGGAATTGCGATCCTAGAGAAAAAAATGAATGATTTATCTTTTTTTATCTTTTAAACATTGGGAAGCACTGCAAGCACGCAGGAATTGTGATCCTGTGGCACTTTGGGGCGTACGTAAAGTAAAAGATCTATATAACATAATCTCTTGAGCATTGGGAAACACTTTATGCACGCAGGAATTGCGATCCTGTGACACTTCAGGGTGGTGGAGAGTAAAAGTTCTAAGAATCATCTTTTTAAAAATTGGAAAACACTGCACACACGCAGCACTTGTGATCCTAAGACACTTCAGGGGTAGAGTAAAAGTCAAAAAATCATGCTTAAACATTGGGAAACACCTTACGCATGCAGGAATGGTGATCTTGTGACACTTCAGGGTGTATCATCTTTTTAAGCAGTGGGAAACACCTTATGGACGCAGGAATTGTGATCCTGTGACACTTCAGGATGTAGAGGAAAAGATCAATTATAATCTTTTAAACACTGGGAAACACTACACGCACGCAAGAAAGGGTGATCCTGTGGCACTTCAGGGTGTAGAGTACAAGTTCAAAATCATCTTTCAAACATTGGGAAACACTGCACGCACGCAGGAGTTTTGCTCCTGTGACACTTGAGGGTGTTAAGTAAAAGCACTAAGATCATCTGAATTGGAAACACTACACACACGCAGGAATTGTGATCCTGTGACACTTCAGGGTGTAGAGTACAAATTCAATCATTATCCAATAACCTCAGAAACTTGAGGAAACGCTGCGGGCACGCAGCCCGCCAAACTTTTTGGTAGCCTGCAACGCCTTAGGGCTACTACCTAGTACCTTCATGAGGCTTGCCTTCAAGCGACCTCGGGGTCGAAAAAGTATACATCCGACATCCTTTCGTTCAGTGACCACAATAATTAGTCAGGATAAAATCAGGACAAATTACAATATATAATCATCAATATGTAGTTGTTTTAACGTCCACGTTGACTTTTTGCCCGGAAACAAAATATCCATTTGACACGAAAAATCCCAGCGGTCCTCCATTAAGCTGATGACTTTCTGCTGTCGGTCTCTCCGGGTCTCTAAAGCCAGGGCCATGCCAGAGCTGATAATATCCACCTGCCGATCCAGCTGGTCATGACACGTCCCTGAGATCGTCATGTTTCCTTCTGGGGAAGCCGCAGGGCAAGCGGGGGGGGCACCGGCACCTATTAGAAAAAAACACACACATCACACATTAGATATTGCGTACTGCTGAATGCCTCATGCTACATGGCTGCCTAGGTGAAAAAAGCTCCTAAGTAAAACGGGGAAAAGGTAGGTTGGAGGCCATCGCATCTAGGTGGGAGGTCATTGCAACAGCTTGGAGGCCACGAACCGGCGTCCGTTTCATGCTTTCACCACTCGAAACCGTACCTTTGTTGGGCGTCTGTGGGAAGACTTTTCAGTTATTCGACGGTCCCCTGCGACTCCGGTGAGAACACATCACTGCCTCCTTCCATACGAGTCGGAGCAAGTCAGATGCATTTGGTGTATGTAACAACCCGCTGAAATACGAGTCAGGACTTCGGCACCGATGTGACCAGCTACGTAGCTACTCGCACCCAGTAGAACCTCCAGGAGCCGCCTGGAGCCGGTCCTCCGCCATCTGCTCGAAGAGCTCGAAGGCCAAGGGCCACGCGGTCGTCGTCTTCTTGGCCGCGCTGATGGCGGCGCTGAAGCTGTAGGTCGTGGGGAACAGGTTGGAGCGAGTCACAGCGTCCTTGGAGGACGAAGGACGAAGGTGAAGAAGCATATTTGTCGAGTGAAGTGAAGTTCAAGCATGAAATGAACAGAAGTGGTGTGGTGACTTCTGTGACCTTTCGTGTGATGTCTTTGTTGTTGCACAAGGACCCTGAGACCAACTTAGAATAGACACTATTGTCTATTGTGCCTGCAAGATTTAAAAAAACAAAAATAAATTTGAACTTCCAATTGTTTATTCACGCATATCATCAGCCCTTGCAAAAAATATCCCGAGTATTCCGGTGAACTGCTAGACCCTCAGAAAGAATTCAAGTCTTGTTGCACCGAGCTGGGCAGAGTGACAGACTGAGATCGTTTTTCCCACAAATATGGGCGGAAATCGGGTCAGACTGGGCCTATTTGAAAGGGTCTGCGGTGGAGATCGGGTCAGGCTCACTGCCCGAGAGCTGACGCCACCCATGCGCATCTGCGGGTCGCCCTCTTCGCCCCCCGTCGACCTCCACGTCTTTCCAAGGGTCGAAGGTGCTCAAGGCCCAACGCCACTGGTTCGAGAGCTCGCAGGACCACATGGCAGCAGTGAAGCTAATGATGTCCACGCGAAGGGCGGACATCTGTGAGCCCTGCAAGAGATGGAGGGCACCCAGCCATTGGTATCCTGAGGCGCTGTGACCAAATAAACAAAAATGCGGAGAGGGCGATCTGAGAAGAGTAACCAGGAGGGCCAAATATCTTTGCCTAACAAAAGTGTCTAAGACTCATCGCGTGAGCAAAGAATTCGCAGCAATTGTCCGGCACGGACAAGAACCCGCCCCTTTAGAATCCGTTGGGGCTGGTTTTGTGCACGTATTAGGATACGTGTCCCAAAAGACTTCATATAAGACCTCCAAGAGATTCCTTCTCCCTCCGCGATGG